AGCCAGTCGAGTAGCGGAAATCAAACAAGGAAAGACAGAGACAGATATAGAGAACGAGAGAGTGGAAGAGTGCGTACTTAGCTGTTGACTGCAGCTGTGGCTGCGTGGTACGTGGCAGCGTGGCAGCGTAGTACGTGGCATGTCTGCAATTGTCTGCGTGGCCGGCATGGCAAATATTTAACCCAAACAATGCGCTTAAATCAAAAGCAAGCCATGTCTGCCGCATAACTACGCGACAAGCAATCAAACAGGCGGCAGCAGCCAGAAGTCCAGGCAACGCTATTTGAAACCCACTTTTGACTGACGTTGCACTTTTGGCTTTTAATGCACTCGCAGACTGAAGAAGTTTACGGCTTGGAGTTTGCAGCTTGGCAGGCAAATCAGTTTGGTCTTTGAACTCGCTCCCTGGCCACATATTTGTGGCCACTGAACTGCCACAAACACAGAAAGGGAGCGACCCTATCGCCGTCTCTATCTGAATGTCAGCCATGAAAACTTTCGCCTTCAGTTGGTCAGCTAAAAAGTGTCCAAGCCATGCCCCAAAGGACTCATAAGTCTGTGCATGCATAATTAGAAAACTTTTTGGCATAAGTCATATTTGTTTGTGATCTTAACTAGCAGCAAAGGCAACGGAGACAACAGCAAATGTGGTCACATGACAATGTGTCGTTATCTTTATAAATCAAAGGGAATTATAAGATCTGCCCCCGTTGGCCAAATGCTTGAAATTGTTGCTAAAGCTCCTGCCCATTAACTGGACAAAGGAGTCCGTCCTCACACATATTTTTAATGATTTATTTCCAATTTAAGTAAGATTTCGTGCCTGAAATGCTTTTACCCCAAGCCCAGTTCCTGGCCAGGCCATGTCCTGGCTGCTGCGTGCGTGTGTGTGTGTGTCCTAATATGCAAATCAAATTTATTGCACCCGCTCGCTTTCGTCCTGGCCGTGGGTCACACCATGAATCCTTTTTATCTATGCTGTCGCCCTACCCATAAATCTTGTATAAGTTGCTCCTTGGAGCAGTCAATATGCTAAATCAGCAGACGCCCGAAGGGGTTGCCTGGCGAGGGTGAGTTTGTTTGGACAGCTGCTAAGACATTTCAATAACGCTTTGGCATTCCGACTGCCAATGCGAGAATGCCAGCAGACATTCCGTGCAGCAGGGGCGGCGCCTTTCGACCATGTCTGCAGAATTTTAATCAAACTGCTTGACAACCTCATTTGATTAGCACAAGCTCACGTGTGCCTAAGCCAAATGTTTCACAACTACTCAAAGTGGGATAAATGTGCATTAGATTGAGTAGCTTCAATTAAGGAAACCGAGAATATTTCCAAGACTAAACACCATTGACGAATTTGCAGCTTAGTCTGGGAAATTTTGTCGAAATGAAAGGCTAAGACATAATAACAGTCATTATTATTAATATTACTATTATGAGCATTACTTTTACTATAACTATTATCTGTTTTTTTTCCAGTAATGCAAACTTAAGAGAAGCTAAAAGTTATTCAATATTTGATGGAAGTTTAGAAGTTAACTTGGGGCTATCTTTCTTGGATTTCCTGATCTGGGAAGTCAGCTTTAATTTAAGCATTGCTGACTCAAAAATTCTAATACCAACTTTTATGAAACTATTTAATTGTAATTAATATTAAATAAGAGAAACATAAGTTTACAGAAGAAGTTTTGCGACTTAGTTTGAGCTCCAAACGGAACTAAAGCTATTGTTTGTTGAGATGAGAATAATATTTTGGAAAGAGAGCTGGACAAACATAGAGACAGATAGAGAGAAGAATGGCCGGAATTTTGAATAGAGAGATGGACGAACTTAAGGAGTGATAGAACGGATGTACATACGGACGGACAGGCATATGGAACGACGGAAATTCCGACGGACGGAATTCCGATCAAGCAGAAGGATGGACGAACAGACGGATAATCAAACGAAAGCACAGGCAATTGGACGGAGGGAACTCTAGATAAACAGCTGAACGGACAGACAGAGTTAAATACTTACGGACAAACCCACAGACAGACGGACATATAAACCAAAAAAAAGACAGAGCTAGAACGACTCGGCTGTTGTTCTTGATTACAACAATATATGACTTTAAGGCCTAACTCGTACTGCCAGTTACAAGCATTACAACAAAAGCATCATGCCCCAAATCCAATGCGAGCAGGGTATAAATAAGTTTGTGATTGGAAAGTCAGCTAGTTAGCTGCTATCTGAAAACTGAAAACTGCAACTCTCTCAAAAGTTGAGAACCGGTTTCAAGAGACTTCCTTAACGGCAATAGCCATGGCTGTCATAGTGCACGAGTCCTGCAAAGATTTATAGTGTGAAAGGCAAACAGCGTGGCAGGAGGGGGGAGAAAGGGCTAGATGGCAGCCAAAATGAGTTGAAGACAAAGCCAGTGCCAGGATATGAAATACGCGAGTGTCCTGTTGATATCCTGCGGTGCCAAGCGGCAGCTGAATGGGCTCGACCCGACGCCCTAAATCAAATGGAACAGACATTGTCAGTCAACGTTAGGCAGGCGCAATAAAAAGGATTTCCATGCTGTACCAAATGCATTTTCCCATTTCCCACAATTTTCATGATATGCCTATTGAGCGGCGAGTGGGGCGAGGGTTGGCTACGGCGACTGTCGGCCGTTGCAAATTTGTCAACAGGCACAACAAATGACAATGTGATAAGCGGCACAAGTTTTTGTCTTTTTTGTTATCAGGAAATAAATCACAAACCACAAAAAAATGAAGAAAATGAGTAGAAAATATGGGAAAAACATGGAAGGACGTCGGATGTAACTGACTGCCTAATGCTCGTTCACAAGATAACAGACAAATTATATAAATATATATATATATAATTATACTATGAAGTCTAGTTTATCCAGCTGTCAATTTAGTTGTGCGTCTCAGCTAACTGTCTCAGATATCTATCTATTCATATCGATCTATAGACATATCCATCCATCCATCTGTGGTTCTATACATGATAGATAGATGCATAGATAGATAGATATGGCTTTCTACATGATGGATGTATGGATATATGGGAAGCATATCCTGTTTTCTATGCATATATCTATCTGTCCATCTATCCATCTATGGTTCTATCCATGAGGAATAAATGGAACGATAGGATACATATCGATCTTTTCCTCTATTCATATATCAATCTTTCTATCCATCCAACCATCTATCTGTCTATCTATCTATCTATCTATCTATCTATCTATCTATCAATTTATCTATCTATCTATCTATCTAACTATCTATCTATCTATCTATCTATCCTTCTATGTATCTATCTATCTATCTATCTATCTATCTATCTTTCTATCTATCTTTCTATCTATCTATCTATCTATCTATCTCTCTATCTATCTATCTATCTATCTATCTATCTATATATTTATATCTATCTATCTCTATCTATCTATCTATAGATATCTATCTATAGATATCCATTCATCATCCATATATTTATGCATCTCTCCATCTATCTACTCTACTATGCAATAGATTTCCATGAGAATAGAGTTACTTGACTTGGCAGTAGTGTGACTTGGAAATTGCATAAAACGAATACACTCCATTCACTTGGCGAACGAGCATTCGTGAGCACTTGCAATAAAAATGATGAGAGGCACAAAAAAGTGTATCGAATGCGAAAAAGTTGCTATCAGCGCTTGGTCGGGATTGATAGTGTGTCCATTTGTATGCCGGACTGAACTTTGAACCTGCCCCGAGCCGTCGCGACTGAGCTCAAATTGCGCTTGAATATTAGCAAGAAATTTGCGACCCATTGTCCGGGAGGATGAGTTTAAAAGGCTTGCGGTACATCTGTGCAAATATTAGCTTATGAAATTGTTTAAAATGCGCAACCCATTTCGTGGATTTGACAAGGCATCGCAGTGCGCCTTGGTCACGCTTCACAGGATGGGGGCAGAAGGCAGGATGCAGGCAGGACAACAACAAGAACAACGGCGCAAATAAGAAGGAAACATCACCCAGAGCCATTTGACAGTTGCCACAATTTATCATAATTCAATGCATGCCATGTCCTGTCAATCATCAGGCAGGACGAAAGGGTGAACACACATTAGTTCGATTGAGTTGGATGGGGTTGGACGTTGGACGTTGGACGTTGAGCATGTCCTGCCAGGACATTTTTACAAGTGACTTATGAATTATTCCTTATGGCCAACCAAACCATGGCCGACTCCCTCACGTCTCTTTTGCTTTTTGTACTCCCAAATCAGATTAGCCTCCGCTCTTTCAACTACATGAAAGGGTCAATAGAGCCAATGGGACTGCCATCAAATGGAATACACAATGCGATTCTACAGCTTAGATTTCCATCTGGATGGGTAATACGTGACCATAAAACACTTCAATGGCTAGCCTAGGCACTTGTTCCATTAGACTTAACACGTATTATCTGATGTTAATTCTTAAAAGATATAATGATTCAGGAAAAGCAATCTGTTTTCTATATGACATATATATAGCCTATAGTAGTATATGAAAATGTATTTTCTTATTTTTTTATTATATATATATGTTTATTTATTTATGTTTATTTAGTTTTAGAGCAGATCATCTATAGTCCAGTTGCATACATTGTTCATAGCTCTCTTTCTGATCTGATATATTAAAGGTTTAATTATTTGTAATTAACATTTTGATATTAGTTCGAATCAGTTGGCCTCCAACAAGGCTTAGCATCTGCAAAACTAACTAAAAATACCCGAGCTACAAGCTTTGAAAGATATATACATATTCAAATTTCCTGTCTAAATATATTTTGGTTGGATTTTTAAATTTAAAAATAATTTTAATTACAGATTAATTAAAAACTTCTGAATGCAAATTCTAAGTGAAAAATTTATAAAAAATATTTAAGTTGTGTTGTCGGAATAGAATTACTTACCCATTTAATTTAAAAAAAAAATTGATTTATATTTTACATAGAGAAAAACATTCGAATTTGGTTTGATCGTAAACTTTATTAAGTTAGCAGTATTATTGACTAATTGACAGAAAAATATATGCGTATATATATATCATGTATTTGTTTATATCTAAATATGGATTATTCAATTTGAAATGATTTGTTGACGGGAGCATTTCCCCGAGCTGTAGAACGTCAATTTGAACATGAACTTTTGAGCACGCGTACTCGAGGCGAGATAACGAAATAGTTATACATAACACATATTGTAAATAAATCACAACTTTTAACTGTCATACTTATTGGAATTGATAAAGGTATGACGCTTGATTAGTGTTAAGCCCTACGTGGAGAGCGGGATTGATAAGAAAAGAACTCGTGGATTTGACTGTGCCGTGGAATGACATTTAATTCAGACAAAACGCGTTATATATTTATTTAGCCAATACTTTTGGAAACAAACATTAAAAAAAAGAAGAAGAATTTTACGTTTGAGTATGATTTAATTATAAACTAATTTTGGCAAAGAAAATGTGAGTGGGAATAACAAAATACTTGGTGCGATGGAGTATCTCTTGCAGCGGCTTATAACAGTTAATTTTAAATAGATATATTTCTCGGAGCACAGTGAAAACTATGAATAGCATGCTAAACAATGAGTTGAATTTGGAGTTGTTTACATGTTCTTGTCGAACAGGAATTCGCCCAACTCGCCTTGGGAGGCCATCATCTTCTCCAATGTGGTGATCTTGCCAGCCAGCTCGCGTTGGCCGGTCAGCTGCTCCTCCAGATAGACACCGGTCAGATAGTCAACCAGATGGTAATCGTTATCGTCAGCCTTCTTGGAGTTACCCTCGCAGGTCTTAATCAGATCGCGAATGGACTTGGTCACCTCGGTTTCTAGCTTGAAGGCATCCTCCAAAGCACTCAGTCCACTCCAGGACTTCACCTTGACAGGCTATAAAACGGCAATCGTTAAGGTCCCAGAATATCTTTGAAGAATTCCGATGCAATTACTTACCATCACTTTAATTAGGTTCTTAACGGTGTCGGTCAACTCGCCACGCATCGACAAGTATTCCACCAGTTTGGCGCCATGCTCGCGCTCCTCCCTGGCAGCCTTGAAGAAGTGTTCAGCGAAGCCAGGACGATTGACGGTGTCGTTCGAGAAATAGGCAGCCATGGCCAGATATTGCATGGAGGCACTGATCTCCTTCTGGATCTGCTCGCGCATGCTTCTAATGCAGGGCTCCTTCATGTCCGGCCATCCCTTGAATGCAGCATTCGACTTGATGTTGCCTATAAATGAGAAGATCAACATTAAGTCATATTAACACATAAACAATAAAGACTATATACATTTAATAACTCATTCTTCATTACATATGCGACACCTACAGTTATGCGAATCTTGGTCAGAATCTTGCGTTTCAGTTTCTTGCTGTTTTCTAATTTTCAAGTCCTCCACAAAGCTGGACTGTTTACCGGTAAGGGGAGCTAAGAGGTTCGAGGAGTGATTAGCGTTGACATTACGTAAGCAACAATGGCTACTGCTCATGTATTGAATGCAAGCTCAAATTTCTAGAAATAAGTAAAGCGTGTGCAAAACAAAATTGCAGTTATATGCTAAACTCTCTCTCTCTCTTTATCATCTCGTTGTTGTTGTTCTCTGCACACTGCTATAACGTGCAAGTGTCGCCATAGTAACGGCATTTGTTTTGGTTTCGTGCCGTGTGCAAAAATTCTCACTTCTAGTGTAGTCCGTCTCACTCGCACCTTCGAGCTTAGACTCGACGCCGTGTGCAAAAGCCAAAATCAAAAACATAATGCGGGAATTATTGCTAAAAGAGTGCAAAGCTGAAACTTAACTTCACACATTATACAACATATGAAAATAAGCTAATCCGTTACATAAATCTATCAAAGCTAGCGAAAGTTTGTTAAATTGATTTAATATATTATTTGAATAACTTCCAGATTATACGATGAAGAGAGCAGAGCAGTACAACAGCTGACCTAATGCTCTCTTAGTTATGTGTGCGCACGCCCAGCTGCTCTTAATAAACTCTCACTCACTCACGCTCTCAAACTCTCTCTTTGTTTGAACGATTGGTGCGTCGCCATCGATTCAAATTGCGTCGAATTATATTGTTTTTTTTTTCAAAATATTTTTGTTTTGCTTAAAAGAATTAAACAACTACTAATTATTATGTATTAAGATTACTCACATTGTAGATTGTCAGCCTGGGAAACGTTGACCGCAGCCAAAACGACCAGTAGGCAAAAACTCGCAAAAAATTTCATCATTTTTCTCTTGGGGTTGCTCTTGTTGTTGTTGATGTCTTTACACAAAATCACAGAACAAATATATCACTTTCAGTTAATAAATCAAAGCAAACTGTTATTGTTTACGTGCTCTGCCTAAATGCACAAATTAAAATGAACCGTTTCGGTTACTCTGCCAATGTTAAATAGAGAAGTTTCGAGGCGATCGGTTATCTCGTCTCAATTGTCTGTCAAAGCTGCCTTTACGCACACTGGCATAGAAGGCAAGGCTTGCTTTTTCTATTCAATTGGACTTTAGTGGATTATTTGATCTTTCCGGTACCTTATGATACCGTTTTATATACCCTGACAAACTCTTTACACGTACTTGGAATTTTTCGTAATTCTTCTGCTTAACGCGCCTTCGCTATGTGAATGCAAACTGTCGGTGCCAGTGCCGAGCAAAACACTTTTAAACGCTTCGTCGCTGGCCGCTCTCGCTCACAAAGAGCGCTGTGTGACTACACACAATACGTGTACACTATATGTGACTCTCTCTCTGTATGTGTGAGTTCGCTCTTATCAATTCAATATGTCGTTCCACAGTTTGTTATTGTTGTTATCGCACTGAAAATATAATATACCATTTGATAGACGTACTTGATTTACCACACTTCCACACGTCCTCAATATAAAACCTCCTCTGTCCAACACCACTATCGTTGCTGAATATAGCCTATCAACAATATGGCCGTATGGCCGTATGGCCGCAGAGGTTGTCCAGTCAGCTGTTCTTTGTTACACATTCACCCTGTAAAATGGGTATATAAACTTAGACATATGAATTATGTAACTGTAGAATTCATATACAATAACAAAAATTAACTTAAATATAGGTTTGAAAAAGTCTAAAAAAAGGAATTAATTATATTTATGTGTCGATGTATTGTAAACTATCTAGGGTATGTCAAAGTCGACCCTTACTCTTGTTTTAATTTAGTGGGCTACATATCATGGGTTGCCATGCACAATTCTGTTTGATATAAATTAAATTTGATGGTTTAATACCTAACTTAGAGCAGAAATATGGATATTGTAGGATCAATCAAGATTTTGATTGACTATCAGTGCGAACATGACAACTAATGCAGAGTTGTTATAATACAACATGATGCCAGATGATTGATAAGACTCATGTCATACGATAACAAAACATGTAATAACTGTATGCCTACTGATTAATTTCGCTTATTTTTGAAAATAGGTATAATATTGCTTGATATGAATTTTATTATCTATATATCTTTTCTACAATTTGCTTATTAATATGAATTCCATGCACGTGTAAATAAGCCTCGCTTGAGTCAATTTCTAGTCTTGTGATGAAATAGTTTGATAGATGCAAATCATTGTAAGAACTTTAAACAGCTTGGTAACTCTATTCAGCATTGAGAACACAAGCAACTTATGAGTGCCTGAGTCACAAAGAAAAACAACCGCAATTACAATAGAAATAACAACAACAAACAGAGACGCGGCCATATTGCCAGAGCCATGTTTGACTGACAACGAAATCCCCAACTGAGAGACGACGAGTGCAAAACAACATACCCATACACATTCGAAATCGCACTCACACTAGCGCACTCACGCATACTGTCGTACTGAGCACGACGCTGCCAAGGCATAGAAACGAGACAAACGAAACGCTATAAACAGCAGTTCACAAATTGAGTTCCAACAAGCAGCACGTAAGAAAACACAAAAAGCAAAGCAGAATAACTTTAAATTAAATTCAACGCGTACATTTAAAGTGAGTGTTTATCTTCAATTGTTAATTAATTGTTAAAATTATAACTAGTGTGAAAGTAAAATATGTGAACTTTTTAAAACAAATTAGTTGCAAGCAATTTGAGAGGGCGTTCGCAAGAGAGAAAGAGAATGTTCACGAAAACTCTGCGACGCAAAAGGCACTGATTTGTTTTTCATTGAATCGCATTAACTACAAACAGAATGACAGATTTTGAAATTGAAAATACGTCTAATTGTGAAATTCTATTTATTCTAATTCTAGAAAGTGAAAACAAACAAAATGAAATATTTCATTGCATTCGTTTTGGTTGCGGGCCTCTGTGCTCTTGCGCACGCTCAAGAGCAGAGCTGCCAAGTGGACGTGCAGTCTGCTTGCGGACAAAGTGCTAACGGTGAGTACAAAAAAAATATATAGCTAAGAGCGTGCCTGAGCGTACAAATGGAAGAGAGTGAAAGAGAGCGGCTGAATGATTATTAGTATGAACATATGTATGTGTGCGAGTCAGCAGTTGATCCGGTTTTAACTGTAAATGTGTATTGTTTTCTGAATATCTTATTTTTAAAAATAAACAAACAAGCGCTCATGGCCTTTTTCTCAGACGAAAGTAAGCGAAAAAAACTTCCTCATTATAATTAAGCAAGCCCACCACACACACTTCTAAATATTACCCTCTGTTTGTTGTCTCACAGGTGGTGTGACAAATTGTAATGCACGCTATGGCGCCATTGGCCATCTGGAGCACAAGATGCAGGACTACATTCAGTTGCAGCTGAAGAAATCGTATGAATATATGCTGCTGGCCACCCACTTCAACTCGTACCAGATGAACCGTCCCGGCTTCCAGAAGCTCTATCAGGGTCTTTCCGATCGGGCTTTCGATGATACTATTGCACTGATCAAGCAGGTGACTCGTCGTGGTGGCTCTGTCGACTTTAGCAAGCCCCATGAGCAGGGTGTTGCCCAACCCCCCGAGGTGCATTTGAATGAACTGGAGTCGCTGGCACGTGCTTTGGACAATGAGAAGGAGCTGACCAACGGTGCCATACATGTGCACACCAGCGCCACCCACGGCACCACCGAGAACCGCATACACGATCCAGAGATGGCCCACTATCTGCAGGAGAACTTCTTGGGCAAGCAAGCTGAATCTGTCCGCAAGCTCTCTGGCTATGCCAACGATCTGTCCAAATTGGTCAGCGTGCGCGAGCCCGCACTTTCGGTCTATCTGTTCGACGAGTATCTGCAGAAGCAATAAGCAGTTATCTCTGTTCCGCAACTCTTATCAAAATTCACTCATCTGTTAATTTGTTAGTATTACAAAGATTCCAAAAGAAAACAAAACGAAAATAAACCCCCACACGCTGCATTATGTAAATTTCAATTGTCATTCGAGTTGTGTTTAATAATAATAATAAATCGAAGCGCAGTAATCACAAAAGCAAAAGCAAAAACCATGCAGTAACATCTGATTTACTATCGGCTATTATTTAACATTGATTTATTTACTACATCAACACACACACCCATACACACACACACTCACATCTTTGTGATAACGTTTAAGTAAGCCGCATTCGCTTGAACAAATATATCTTTAAACTATGTTACCAAGCTAAATAAATAAATAAAGTCAACATATATACGCTGTATTTCATGTTTTGCTTATTGATATTTAACATGCAGATAAAGCGACTGCAAAATTTTCAAACAAATCGCAGATGTCTGCGATGTCTTGTTTCCCGTCGCGCTGATAGCACTCGAGTCGGGCTGTGGGTGTACTTTGAATTCGACTCTGATTACAAAGCGTGCAATATCGCATATAGAGCAACTAAGTATATCAAAATTGGACTATTCTATATGAGAAATTTGAGTATGCATATGTATATGTGCTCTAAGTGACGCGACTAGACCTTTGATCTATGCAAAATCTAATTTACTTTGATTGTTGTGAAATAGGACAAAGAAATATTTGCGAATGCGGTTTGCTTGATATATGCATTCATGGGGTGGGTATAAAGCTTTCATAGACCATAATAGAATTTATTAATAATATTATTTCATTATTTATTATCAACTGCGGTTGTCTGTGGCTCTTCTAGTTAAGCTTTCTTTTGAAAGCAGTTCTGATGTATTCAGGTGTATGTTATGTAAGATGAGAACCCATAAAATTTCCTTGATTTATTATACTAGATAGTATTCAGTAATGTCATATCTGAGAAATTTAAGTTGTCATTTTAAAAGATTTCTAGGCATAAGATTCGCATAAATATCTTAATGTATAAGCCTCTTCCTCTATTTCTCTCTCTATCGCTCTCTCTCTCTCTTTGTCTCTTTCTCTCCTCTATCTCTCTCTCTTTGTCTGCTTCTCTCCTCTATCGCTCTCTCTCTCTCTCTCTTTGTCTGGTTTTCTCCTCTATATATATCTCTCTTTCTCTCTCTCTCTCTTTGTCTGCTTCTCTCCTCTATCTCTCTCTCTCTCCTTGTCTGCTTCTCTTCTCTATATCTCTCTCTCTCTCTCTCTTTTTGTCTGCTTCTCTCCTCTATACATATATTTACATTTATTTATATATCACACTCTCTATAGATGCATTGCAATTGATAAATTGCTGATCTACGTAATTGTAGCAAAAATCTTGCAGACTATATCTTATCAGGGAGTACTTCAGCTGAACTACTAAAGCCACGTTGCTTCGTATTCAAACACGTCATGTTTTTCATTTCCATTTGTTTACGTCGAGATTTATCGCCCGTTGCACACGATTTCCGGTTGGCTGGGAGGCCATGTTCGATGGGGCAGCCATATTGGCTGCTGACTAAGCCAAAGCTGACTAGCGGTAAAGAGTGCCGTTTCTCCTATTATGTAATACGCACTAGACTTTCTGTCTCTCCCTCCCTCTCTGTGTCTCTCTTAATCCCAGTCTTTGCGCTTGACGTGTTTTACTTTGATGCTGCAGCGCAGTTTCCTTATCTTTAATTTCGATGCGAATTGCAATTATTGTAAATATTTTCCAAGACCACAGCCAGACGGCCTACCCTCTCTCCCTGCATCTCTCTCCTGCTCTCTCACGCACACACAGACATACTTTATGTGGCAGGCAGCCACGCAGAAGAGCCATTTATCAATTAGTGACGCCCATTCAATTGGGATTTTATTTGGTTATAGTTCGTAGATGGGCCACTTGCACGTAAAATGCACGTTCATTGCCTCAATTTTGTGCGATAGTGTGGAGTATAATTATTTGCGCTCTGGGTCGGAGGTCATCAAAATCTGGGCAATCTGGACGCGTGTTATGCTGTAATTAGAATATGACAGCCAACTGGCGACCATAAAGCCAGCGATGCTCACATAACAGTTAGGAGTGCGATTATGATACGATGGAGGTAAATGGGCATATGGGACTACGACTCTGAAACGGCTCTCTGACCCCTTGGCCTGCACTGGTCATTAAATATTAATCCACTTAATATTAATTGCGCTGATTTGCGGCCAAAAGATATATATATAAATGTATATTGTATATGAAGAGGGTTTCCGTTTCGTAATTGCGGTCATTTCGAGTGTATTTGTCTTTTTTAGTGGGGTTTTAGTGGGCTTACACGCACACGACGCACACATGCGACGCCGCAGCCTAATATCTAATTGCCTTTGCGTGTGTCTATGGAACCCTTTTCCAAGTGCTCATAAAGGTGCTCTAAAACTCAAAATTCTTCAATTAATTTATGCATTTTAATAAAAGCGCCAAGCAATTAGCTTTATATAGAAAACTATTTCATTTATGCTGTTGCTGCCGCCAGCTGTTGTCAAAGGATTCGCCAAAAGGATTCATATCAATTTATGGCCAAATGTGTGTGTGTGTGTCTGCCTGCCCGTGTGTGTGAGTGTGTGTGTCTGCTCGTCTGCATGCAAAAATAGCAATTTAATTTCGTTTTATTGCATTTGCCATTTGCAGCCAGTGAACAACAGCTGCGCCACAGAACTTCAATAAATAATCCAATTCATTCCGTTTTATTCAAAATTTTAATGAATATCTTAAAACTTTTTGGACGCCTTCAGCTATAATTGAAAAGCTAAATTTAAAAATACATTTTTATTTAACTAAAAGTTTTGATGAATTTTTTTAACATTTTATTGGTCATACCACCTAGAATATATGATATATTGAAAATAATATTAGACTTTTTTATATTTTATTTTTGATAGAATTTAAGTCAGAAATATATTTTGCTGCATTTACTTAATCCATAGAGCTAAGCATGACGAAGCTCAATAATTGATTAGAGCTTTTAAAGAAAGTGTGAACTTAAGTAGAGAACTATGTATATTATAATGGGATGAATCAGCTAGTTAGTAAGGCATACAATTATAAACAAAATAATATATTTAGATACAAACTAATAAATTATATTATGAGAAGCGATACACATATATATGTATACCAATATATATATATATATATATATATATATATATATATATATATATATATATATATATATATATTGGTATATATATATATATATTATATAAATATATATATTCATCGAGTTCATTCATAATATATAAACGACTTACAGCTAAGTATTAGACTTAAAAATAAATGTAGCACATATGTATATGAAGTCAGACAAATGTTAGTTATTTTTTCGTCTTTTAGTAGCTACTACCATTTCCATGATAGACTACATTTTCCATGATCTTAGGTTTCTAACAAAAAACATTTGAGTTTATACAAAATATGTTAATCTTAATATTTTTTTCAATTTGTTTTCAAAATATTGTGTTTTTTACAAACTGGTGACGTCTAACATTTAGTGCTCAGTCGCACTACTATTTTCATGAACACCTTTAAAACAAGAGAAACATACATAAATCTTACAATCGGAATGAAACCATAATTAAAGAACCTGAATACAGGTGTGCAACTAGGAGGCAAGTCCTTGCATATGCCAAACAATATAATCCTTTTTCTCTTCTTCCCCATAAGAATATTCGGTAATACTCATAAGTTAAACACGTGTATATATACAAAGTTCAATTACCACAATAATAAAATAATTATAAGGTAATAAAATATAAATAATATTGATTCAAAGAAATAGCAAACTGATTTGCGCCCGCCTTGAACTGAAGATAAGCCTAAGTTTCGTTACAATAAATGATATAGAGTCAAGAGTTATTATGTTAACATAAGAGAAACGCTGCAATGGGCTGTTCGACTACAATAGACTCATTAAAACTACTTATAAATATAATATATATAAGATAATAATTTATATATATTAATAAATGGGTATATTTCTTAGGTGGTTTCTTAGATCAACGTGAAGTGGTGAAAGATAATTAAAGTTCCTAGTTAAAGCTTGTTAAAAGTTTTTATATTTTCTCATTTCTCTAAATAAAGTTTCTTAAATAACATAACATATTTTCAAGCACCTGTTTCTCTAGTTAAGTACCCCATGGAAATATTTTATGGGCATATTGTGCCTCTCAGCAATTTGTGCGTAATAAAGCGATTTGCATAGTCAATCGGCTCACTTTGAAATCGATAGCCAAACAATTTGGCCAAACAATGGGATATTGAGGCAATGCAATCCATTGGGATCGAACGATTAGCAGAGCAATCGAATCAGGGGCCATAATCAGGGAAAACAAGCTAATGGATTTCCGATAAGCGAACCGTTGATAAGACTAAGAGCACGAATAGGTTTTGCTTTGTATTGTTGCTGTTGCTGTTGCTGTTGCCTTTTGTTGTTTTTGCATAAATGAAATGTTTTGCAAAATCTCGTATAGCTGTATTCTATTGCAGGGTGGCTCAGGGGCAGCAACTGCAACCTGAAACGTTGCGATGCTGAGCAACCCCAGCTGGGCACAGCTGCCGGCAGTCAATTTGAATAAATCCACTTTTCAAGGTCAGTGGGTAAAACAAGTTGCAAAATTTTTCAGCACACCCCATTGCAAAAAAACAAAGATGAGAAGTTGATGTGAGTCTCACAATATTAGTCATTGAGATACCCTGCAAATATAGAAATTTATACCGCTACTCCTTATACTCATACTCATAATGCTAATGCTAATGCTAATGCTAATACTAATGCTAATGCTAATGCTAATGCTAATGCTAATGCTAATGCTAATGCTAATGCTAATGCTAATGCTAATGCTAATGCTAATGCTAATGCTAATGCTAATGCTAATGCTAATGCTAATGCTAATGCTAATGCTAATGCTAATGCCAATGCTAATGCTAATGCTAATGCTAATGCTAATGCTAATGCTAATGCTAATGCTAATGCTAATGCTAATGCTAATGCTAATGCTAATGCTAATGCTAATGCTAATGCTAATGCTAATGCTAATGCTAATGCTAATGCTAATGCTAA